AAAAAAAAAAAAACCTTCTGCCCAGAATCATATTGCGGTCAGCATCTCCATCAGCAGCAGCACCGAATTCTGGTGGCTCCTCCCCTGAGTTCGTCTTACCCAGTCCCATACAGGTAACTAATTCTTTTGCGTATGTAAGGTTAGGATCAGGATGCCCTCCACCAAAATCTTCCTGCCACAACGAATATACGCCGATAAATACATTTACTGTAATTTTTGCAATGCCTCAGTTTTCATATCATTCATTGGTATGGAAATCAAATACCTTGGGAACACAATTCAGTAAAGAGCTTCCTTTGGCACCTAGCTCCTCTACAAATATACGTTTCGCATAAGCCCCAGCAACTCCATGAAGGGCATCATAACTAACAAGGTTGGGAGGCAATCAGTATTAAACATCAATACATTTCGAGCAAAAATCATCTGAGAAAGTATTCCAACCATGAAATCACATAAGAATTTAAAGGCATACCAGAAGGTAAATTTTGGTGATGACAGTAACTTCCGGATAGATTGAAAATCAAATATGGTCCTGTGATGGGGATGCAAAAGACAAAAGTTTGCACAAGATAAAGATGAAATATATTATAATCTACTATAAGAATTAAAACAACTGACACTTAAAGGCAAAGTTTGCCTCTCAGAAAGTGCCGATATTTCTCAATTTATTCTTTCTCACCATTAAGTACCACTGATGACAGAAATTATGGATACTCATGTAATGACATACAATTCCACTGAAATGAAAATGAGAAGTTTTATGCAAATCCTATAAAGGAACATACTTCATGAGTTTAACATAGTCACTTGCTGAATCAAAGACGTCCACATCAAATTGCCCCTCAGGTCCCGCAAAGCTTGTTATGCCTATTGTGGAGATATCTACCTGTAATATTCCAGAAAATACCATGCGTGAAAATCTGTAGTTGATTGCAACCCACTTATATAGAGGATATGTGTGTGCATGACTATGTTTCAAGAACCAATCGTACATCTGGCAAGCCTTCTGCAATATAATATTCCTTTATTGTGGTCGTGTTGGAATAGATCTTGTCAGTGATTCCTTCTGGTGCAGGTCCACCATTTTCCATGTTGTATTTGATGCCAAAATCCTGTCACGCAAAAAGAAAATATTAATAATAATTAAGGAACCAAAATGCCCACTTAAGGAGCTAAAAACAATTTTGACACCCAGATGCCTACCATTAAATAATCAAAAATGGATTATCTGTGGATCAAACTGACATCCTTCATTTCATGTTCTTTGTCGCATCTAATGTGAAAGGTATCTGTCCTTGTTAATCTACGAGTCGATAGCCTATTTTTCATAAGTAGCAAACGCAATCATTTATTGTTGAATTCCTAACTATGAGATCCATTCAATGTTATCAACGGCGGATCGTGGAAAATGGCGGCAGCCTGAAATCCCGCCATAGTGGCTGCCATTGCGCCTGCCATGGCAGCCTATTGTGCTGCCATAACACTGACAAATTTATAATGTTGGTTAGGCAGAAATCCGCGATGGCGGAAATTTGATAACTCATTAAACTTACACCTTTCTTTGTAGATTCTAGTAATGGATAAGATTTACTGGCAAAGATTATAGTTATATAAGATAGAGTAAAACCAGCTTAATTGACTAACTACGTTGCAAATTTATATTCCAAATGCAACAGTGTACTGAAACAAACAACACATATCAAGGCATGGGCATAAATTTGCATTCCTATCATATCAGAAGAAAAATGTACAACCAAAACTGTGATATAGTTCAGATCAACAAATGATGCCTTTACGTAAGTAAAATTGAAATGCACTAGTTCCAGCTAGTGATTTCATTATAAAAGAATTTATCAATTGATAATCTAAAAAAAAAAGAAAGAAGGAAATGCTTTATACATCAGCATATTAACATGATATGTCAAAATGAAAAAACAAAAACGAGTAATTCAGGTGTAAACCTCATGCGGACCTCCTGGGTTGTGGCTCGCTGTGAGTATAAATGCACCATTAGCCTTGGATCCCTGTGAAAGTTTAACATTTTGGTAGGATCAATCTCATATAAACTCCAGATTCCAAGATTTTTGATACGAAAACAATGACGCTAACAAGTAAATATAGCCTATTCAGGTTGATCCCTTACATCTGCTCCAGTTCTTTCTCGTATAACAGCCGATACAGCAGGAGTAGACAGCAATCCATTCTGACCAACCCAGATACGCCTCACTCCATTTGCAGCAGCCATCTTAATAATAATCTGCCACCATTTACCCAAAAACTAATAACTAGTACATAAATCAAACTAAAGATCAAGCATATTAATTAGTGGCGCCAAGAGTCGAAAGGACAAGTACAATAAACAGCATCAACTTTACTTATTTGAATATGAGAATATCTATATAAACTCATATGTAAAGTCTTTGAAGTGATATATAGGAATTAGGGGCATGCTCATTTATTCTAAATGCATAAACACAAGGAAGAGACATAATAAGAAAACACAAAAGGTAACAGCTAGTGAACTGCTTCACGTTCACTTTTTATATCTTTTATCAGCTTGAACAAACTATCAAGAATACATAATGGCTTCTTCAAAGAAGATTCCTGTTTCCACTTCACTTTCAAAGTCCGTAAAAGAAAACAAAATATCTTTTAATTTGGGATATAAAGAGACTTTGCTTGAAATCAGTGCTTTATAATCTCTTTCTCTTCACATATTTAAGTATGCAACAAAATGAAAATTAGTGAAAAGTAGACACTCCATCAATTAGATTAAAAAGTTAGACAAAACAAACTAGAGGATGCTTGGATACAAATTTATCCAAACAAATCCAATCATTTTTAACTCAAACGCTTTTTATAACTCAACTTTGATTCAACCCCACTATCATCAATATAATCAAATAATTTCAATCAATCATTCTTACACACCACATCAACTTTAATTCACTATTCATCCACTCACATAAATTTTAACGAACTATCATTTCAAATCATTTCTCTCATACTTTTATATTAAATCAACATTAATTATTTTATTTTAAATATTATTTTAATATACCCACTAACAACTAACCATACCACAATTTTCAAAATTAACCAAACCAAACCAAAAAATCCAAAGAAATCCAAAAATTTTTATACCCAAGCATCCCCCTAATGAGTCAACATAGACATCTATGCATATATGAATGTATTGAAAATACCAATGTCAATATCATGTCCATGAACGAGACAACAAAACAATAATTGCGTCAAATAACGCATGTTCAGGTACCTGAATGGCGTCCTTTGAGTAGTAACGGCCATCACCAGAAACCACAAGTGTAGCACCTGAAAATCCACCAAAAAATAAATATTCAATGGGGAAGAAAAAAAA